TCGCGCTGTGAGCCTCGGCCCGCGGGGCGGGGAGGGCCGGGCGGCCGCGTGGCAGGCCGTGTGGGAGCAAGAGCCCGGAAGGACCGGGCAGGTGCGGGGAGAGGAGGCCCGTGGGCAGCCCGCGGCCAGGCAGGACTGGCCTTCGTTCCCGCCCAGCTCCCTGGCTCACCTTGAGGTCCGAGATCACGCGATCCGGCTTGTTCGAAAGCGACCCCAGGTGGACCGAGTGTCTGCCAGATTCCCCGCGTGGCGTCTGCATGACCCACACAAAGCCCCGTAAAGCAGCAGATTGGGGAGGGGGTAACCCAGGGGCGCACACACCCAACCCCTGAGCGCAGCCCCGTTTCTTACTTCTGTGTGACTACACAGAGCAGGAGCCAGGAGTTAAGCTAAAACCTAGTCCGGCATGGTGGCGCACGACTCTAATCCCAGCACTCAGGAGGCCGAGGCAGGAGGATTGCTATGAGTTTGAGACCAGTCTGGACTACATAGCAAGACCCCCGTCTCCAGAAAATGAAAACAAGAACAAAAGAAACTAAGACCTGTATTTTAATAGTTTATGCTATTTCTCCCTTTCTCTGAGGGTATGTTACTATTTCATATGTATAGATATATACACTTATTTGTGAATGTATGTATGTAGATCCTCGATGTGTGTATATGTTAGCTCCCATTGTCACACACAGTATAGACACTCTGTAAAGTCCAAATCCAAATAGCTCTTGGTGGACAGGTGATATGTAGGTAGGTAGACAGCTGATAGATCTTCCTTTGATCTACAGGCCTCTGCACCTCTCCTTTGCTATATTACGGGGAAATAACCACTTAAACCTGACATCGTCTTAGCTACAAAGTAAGATTTAAAGAGAATTCTTGCCCCATACAATCTTGCAGTTTTAACAGAAAAATGCATGTTAAATGCATGATGACTATTGTCATTATTAACTGTCCTCTATTATTATTACTACTAATGATAACTACACCCCCCCCTCAAAAAAAAGAAAATACTTTTATTAGAAAGTTTGTATTTTGGGCCAATCAATTCTTGAACTTTGCAAGGCCAATATGTTGCAATTCTGTTGCTTTAGTTTCTGGAAGAAATTTTTACCTAGGTATTTGGCTTTGGGCACTTGTTCCGCCTTCTGGACTAAAGAATGCATGCTTTTGATTTCTGGTGTTTTCAGCCAGCTCCCACTGTACAGTGCGCACTCCCCTCGAACTCACAGTGGCCCTCCTGCCTCAGCCTCCTTGCGCGCCGCCACGCCGGCCTGTAGGAACACCAGAGTAGGCCGAGTTCCTGGGCCCCGACCCTGGAGGCCGGGGTCACTTCCTGGGGCTAGGGCGGGCCATGCCCTCTGCGCCTCGCCCGCCCTCAAAGCGCTCTCTCTCCCCGCGGGGTCCACACAGCGCAGAGCGCTCGGATGGCTCCGACCCACTCCGCACCCCCGAGGCCCCCGCGCCACCACCGCACCCTCCGGGCGTGGCCGGCCTGCGCAACCTGGGTAACACGTGCTACATGAACGCCGTCCTGCAGTGCCTGGCCAGCGTGCCGCCGCTGGCGCAGTACTTCCGGTCGGGACAATACGTCACCGCGCTGCACAAGTACGGGGCGGAAGGGGGCGGGGCCGGGGGCGGGCCGCGCGTGCGCGCTAGGCGGACACGGCCCCTGACACGCGCCTCAGCCTGCTCCTCCCGCCGCCCCTCGCTGGCCCAGGGACTGCCGGGAGGTGGCCGCGTCCTTCGCCTACCTGCTGACCGACATGTGGCTGGGCGACACCGACTGCGTGTCCCCCAAGCAGTTCCGGGCCGCGCTCGGCTGCCTGCACCCGGCCTTCATGAGGACGACGCAGCAGGACGCGCAGGAGTTCCTCATCTACGTGCTCAACGCGCTGCACGAGGCGCTGAGGAAGGTGAGCCAGGCCTGCGCCCAGCGCAGCGTCATGCTTTTTACCCCTGCTCCCGTTCGCAAAAGAGCCATCACCCTGTTTCCTGTTACCTTTTATTTTGCTCTTTATTTGTACTTTAAGGTCCTCGTTTGAGAGAAACCGTGCGATATTTGAGATCGTGTGTCTGGTTTCTGTCACTTGGTATGATGGTCTCAAGGTGCCTCCCTTTTCCTACACGTAACTCAAAGGTACCCTTCTTTCTGGCTGTGTAGTACTCCATTGTGCAGCATCAGCCGCTCCCACATCTGACTTCGTGCCCGTGCCATGTTGCCCGCTGGGTGCCCAGTGCTAGGCAGGTCCGGGCTGTGGAGCACAGCCCCCCTCGTGTCTGGATGCACAGCCGCATCCGTCATCCAGTCACCAGCCAGGTGTGACACCGGGAGTCCAGTTCTTGTAGATGAAAGCAAGACGCTGTCTCAAAAGTACAGGAAGAGACTACTGCTTGAATTTTCACGGCGTCTGCACATGGCAGCCGAGCGCCGAGCACCGAGCACCCTCACGGCAGGGCCTTGCTGGGTCTGGACCGTGTCTCCATACCCAGGAAGTCACCCTCCTGCCAGGCCTGCCTTGGCCCTGGGCTGGGCGCCGCACTTCCTGGAGATGTGGCCCTGACTTTACCGGCACCCCCGCATGCCAGGCTACAGGGCAGTTTCGCATTCTAGGTGAGAACCGTGGTGCAGCACAGGTTTCGGGGGTGGGGGGTGCTGGTGGAAACGGCATCCTCACCCTCAGGCAACTGAAATAAACATTCAGGCTCCGGGGCCTCACTAGAAACGAGGGGCTGGAGACCGAGGTGATGAGAGCCGGCTAAGGCTGACCTGGTTCGACCTGCAGGATGCCTTCCACAGGCATGGGCTCTGGAGACAGCATGGGGAAAGGCTGGGCTCACGCAGGGGCCCCAGGCTGCAGCATCAGGGTGCCTGAGGAATTAAAAATTCGCTTTTGGCCTTTGTGTGTGTGTGTGTGCGTGCCTGAAAAATAAGTAACACCGTATTAACTTACATTCTTTCACCATTACCAGAAAAATGTAGAAAATGTTGTGGCAGCATATGTTATGTTTATAAAGATAAATAGCCTCTTTACCCAGAGATCCAGACCTCAGACCACAATGTGGAAGATGAAGACACTGTCCCCACAGCCCCTGCACTGACCCTGGTCTCAGAAAAAGCTCCCGGCCCAATGGCTCCTGGCCCATAATAGCCTGCTCAGGATGAGGGCCAAGGAAACAACCAGCTCATGCACCTGAGAGAATGTGAAACCGAAGCCGTGCCAGTGACCAGGTGGCCACTTACATTAAAAACAAAACACAAGATTCACTTTGAGCATGATGTTTTCTATTTGCTTTGTTTTATTTTAAAAAGTATTTTCTGGCTAGCTGTGATGGCACACACCTGTAATCCCAGCACTGGACAGGCTGAGGTGGAAGATTGACATCGAGTTTGAGGCCAGCCTAGGTTACATGGTGAAACTCTTTCTCAGAAAACCAGAACAAAGTATTTCCTGTACAGTAAAGAAGAAAAGGCAGGGAACTTACACTGAAGGGATTGGATTAGACTAGATCAGCTTGTGTAACCTAAATTTGGTTCAGTAGCAGAGAAACCTAGATCTGGGGACCTATATCACATGATCACTGGCTGGCAGCATATGTGGCCATGGGCTTGTGTTTTACCAGAGTTGGGGGCCACCATTGCTCAGCTTCCCCTCAAGAAGAAAATACGGAGTCATCAAAACTCATACATGATGTAAACCTCAAGATCTTACTCTGTCCATTGTCTGAATCTGCAACTAAGTGATTTCTGTTGGGCATGAATTATTCTGATAGAAAAAAAAATTTTTTTGTCTTTTTGAGACAGGGTCTCACTGCAGTTCAGGCTGGCCTTGAGCTCACTTTGTAGCCCAGGCTGGTCTCAAGTTCAATGATCCTCCTGCCTCAGCTTCCTGAGTGCTAGGATTACAGGTGTGCGCCACCATGCCTGGCTTAGGAGAGAGTGTTTTAAAAAATGTTTTTTGATAACCCATAGCTGATTTGGGGGAATTTGTCCCTTGATTTAGTACCATCGAAGGTCATGTGAGAAAAGATCTATGCAAAGATGCTGCAGGAAGGTGACTTCCAGTGAGACATCCATCATCACCCAGCTCTTTGAAGGGCAGCTGAACTACAGCATTATGTGCTTGAAGTGTGAGAATTGCACCTACAAGAACGAAGTCTTCACTGTTCTCTCTCTCCCCATCCCGTCTGAGTATGAGTGCACCCTTCAGGTAGGATTCCTTAATCCTAGATGCTTTGTCTTTGCTTTTTTGAGATAGTCTCACTAAATTGTCCAAGCTGGCATCAAATTTGTGCTCTTCCTGCTTCAGCCTGCCAAGTAGCTGGGATTACAGGTGTGTACCACCGCACCCAGCCTACCTTTGGATATTTTTGTTTTACTCCACCCTCATCCTTGTATTTACTTGGAGCTTTTTTTCCTACATTATTTAGTAAGGAAAGTGTATTGGTTAGTGTTATGGTTTGTGTCTAGATGCCTCCCCAAAGTCTCATCCAGGGCTTTTCAGCCATGGCTCAATCTAGAGTTTGTGACTGAGTCATGGTCCAATGCTGGGATTAAGGATGTGAGCGCTACACCTGCCCTAGGATGGGTAGCCTGTATACAATATAAGGGATGGAAAGAGGCCTACCCTTGTTACTTCTGCTGTCTTCCACCATTATCAACTATTACTGCCCCTCTGCTCTGCCTTGGAGCCAGCCGATTATGGACTAAACCTCAACTGTGAGCTAAATAAACCTTTTCCCCCTTTAACTTGGGTGTCAGGTATTTTGTCTCAGCAATGAGAGAAAAGTAAGACAGTTTGCTTTCTTGTTGCTGGTACAAAACACCTGACATCCACAATGTAAAGGAGGAAAACTGTAATTTGGCATATAGTTTCAGAGGGTTCATCCCTGGTAAAAACATCATGTAGAAGGGTGTGATGGAAAAAGCTGCTAACTTCATGACAGGCAAGGAAGCAGAGCAAAGAACAGCACTAGAAGAAGGAGCCAGAGACCAGATACAACCTACCAAGGCCACACCTCCATGACCCACCCAGACACACACCCAGAAGTGTGCTCTGAAGTCTATCAAGTAGATGATTAAGCTTAACTATCACATTCCAACCCTTGTCAACTTGACACCCAAACATATCTTCTAAAACCATACTTCTCCAAATGAAGATAAATCCAAATTCATAATTTTACCTAACATGATATAACTGTGCTGCTTACAACCAAAAATGTCCTGATCCCTTTCCCAAAGTCTCAAGAGTTCTGCACTTCTCAGAAGTCCAAGTCAAAGTGTCTGAGACTCAAGGCAAACTCTTAGCTGTGACCCCCTGTGAAATTCAAAAAACAACAAATGACTTAATCTGAAGATATGGAGATAAAGGGTGAATATTCCCATTCCAAAAGTAAAGAATAGGGCGATACAAAAGAAGTGAACCAAAACAAGACCAAAACCCAGCATAGCAATCATTAAGTTCTGTAGCTCCATGTTCATCCTGGGTACATAGTGGTGACACATGGGCTGCAAGGGACTTGCGAGTCCCCATCCCTGTGGCTTTGCTGGTTACACCCACATGGCCCCATTATTAGGTTGGCTCCACTGATACCTTTCAGCTTTCCTCAGTAGAAATTGGCATCTCCATCTTTTTGGGGTGTCCACTGAACATTTGGCTTCATTCTCACAACTTCATGCACTTCCCTCTCTAGTGTACCGTCTGGCCTCCCGAGCCTGCCTTTAAAAATCTTGGTGACACCTCCATGACTACACAACTTTTACATTTTGTGTGCCTGTAAAAACAGGATCATGTGGATGGTGCCAAGGTTTGCTATGAGCACAAGCAGTAGCCAAGCCTCCTTGGACCATGGAAGCTGTGTCCTGTGTACCTGAATGGCTGAGCACAGTGAAATAACTCTCAAGGAACCAGTTCCATAGGGAGCTCTTCTGAAGCAGGGGCCCCAGGAACTCTTTAAGTGAAAGGTTTATACATTTGCATCTTTGAGGTTGGCATGGATGGATGGATGGATGGATGGATGCTGATTCCTGAGATGTCCTCAAGGCATCATTTTTGTCCCCCATTCAAGTTCCTTGGTTTCTTTTTAATGGCGATAAATCTCTTCAGCAGCCACATATCCTTTGGTTCTAATTTTACATGTGGTTCCTTTCAGGCCAATATTTTTCAAATCTTTCTGCTTTGCTTTTTGCTTCCAATTTTCATTATAAATCTGAACAAAAGCAACCAGCAATACCCATGCCACAGCTTGAATGTTGGACTGACTTGAAATTTTCTCCACCAGATCAGTCTCCTACAAAACCTAGCCTTTTTGCAGAGTGTAACAGGTGTGGTCTTTAGTCCTATTCCTAACAGAGTCCCCTTCTGAAACCTTTTGAGGTTGGCCTTTACTGTCTGCATTTTTGTCAGAATTCTGGTCTTCTGAGCTCTTATCAGAACCATCAGACTGTGCTAGGGCTTCTGTAGCCTTACATTTCTAAACCTTTCCAAATTCCTCCTGCAAACTAGTTCCAAACAGTTTTGAGCCACACAATCAACTATAGATACAACAGTGACCCCACTTGATAATAATTTTCTGTATTAGCCAGCTTGTCTGTTGCTGGCATCAAATACCTCTCACCCACAACTTAATGGAGAAGTGTGATTGGGCTCGTGGTGTCAGAGGGTTCAGTCCATGACAGGCTGGCCACAAGGCAATAGCAGCATGGTGGAAGGGTGTGGTGGAGCAAAGCTGCTCATTTCCTGGTGGCCAGAAAACAGCAGGGGAGTAGCACCAGAGATGAAAGAGCTGGGGAGCAGATACAGGCGCCAAGGTCATGCTTATGTGACCCCCTTACATATGCTCTTGTAGCTTCCAAGCCACTCAAGTTAACAATGGAGTTTAATCATTTGCTTTATAAAAAAGAAGAAGAGGAGGAAGAAGAAGAAGAAGAAAACCCATGATAACAGCATTTGTTTTGAAAAGCAACATGTTGGCGAAAAGTTACTATGAGTTACTTTCTCCCCCCATGCTAAGATTTGAACACAGGGCCTTGCTCATGCTAGGCAAACACTCTACCACTGAACCACAGCCCTAGCCCCTCCAAATAATTTCTAAATGAGGAGCTAGCCAAGTCTATTGAAAACAAAATCTATGCTCATCTCCTTCTTTAGGTAAATAGTTTGCAGAACCAGGGGCCTGACCACATTGAGGAAATAGCAACCTGCAGTTCTCTGCTCTGCACCTTCATTGTGGACAGCCACCCCAAGCCCAGAGATGACGTCCCCTTTCAGTCACTAGATCATGTCAGTGATGAGATGAGGCCAGTCAAGTAACTGCCTGGCTTTGTTAGTGGAAACTGCGAAGTCTGTATTATTCCAGAAATGTCCAGCAGCTGGGTATTAAAAGAGACGAATGCTCACATTCATCTCAGTAACTAAATGAGACTGCAGTATTCCTGGTACCTCTACTGCGTGGATTGTACAGCTATCTGGGCTGTGATAGAAATCCAGTTTGCTCCTGGATTTGTTGACTGTGAGAAAAGCCCTTGGGAGCACATTGCAGATGCTCTTTCTGAGTTCTGATATAAACAGGACCCCAGGCTGTACTTGTTCCAGGATGGTCACCACGTGCTTCCTCCCCCGCAGGACTGTCTCCAGTGCTTTTTCCAACAAGACACACTGACCTGGAACAACCAAATCCATTGCTCCTTCTGTGAAACCAAGCAGGAAACAGCTGTGAAGACCACTATTTCCAAAGCACCAAAAATAATTATTTTTCACTTAAAAAGGTATGGATTTTTGACAGTTTGTGGGGAGGTATTTTCATACAGCATTATGGAGTTATAATTCACATGTCAAGATTTGCCCATTTAAAGCATATGATCTGATGGTATTTGGTATATTGCATTATTTTTATGTGATATATACCATGAAATCTGCCATTGTTTTGATTAAATGTATGATTCGGCATTAATTACATTCATAGTATGGGGCAATAATCACTACAGTTTCCAATACGTTTCATTACCCTAATCAGGAACTCTGTCACCATCAAGCACACCTCCACATTCTTCCTCTCCTCAGTCCTTGTTATGTTATCTGCCTCTGTAAATTTACCTGTAATACATACTTCACATAGATGGCATCATGCAGCTGGGCATGCAGTGTAATCCCAGAATTTGGAAGGCTTATGCAGCAGGATCACCATGAGTTCGAGGCCAGTCTAGGCTACATAGTGAGTTTAAGGCCAGCCTTGAAACTATAGTGAGAGCCTGTCTTAAAAAAAAAAGCCTGGCATGGTGGCACCTGCCTGTAATCTCAGCACTTGGGAGGCTGAGGCAGGAGGATCGTTGGGAGTTTGAGACCGGCCTGGGCTACAAAGTGAGCTCAAGGCCAGCCTAAGCTGCATAGTGAGACCCTGTCTCAAAAAGACAGAAAAAAAACAGAGACATTATGCAATACTTACCCTTTTGTCTGCTATATTTCACTTAGTATAATATTCACATTCATTTGTGTTGTAGCAGGAACCAGAATTTCTTTCCTTTTTATCACTAATATTTCATTGCATGGATGTAGCACTTTATCTTCATCTGATGATAACAACAGTTGTTTCCAGCTTTTAGCTGTTAGAATTTCTACAGTGAACACTGTATAAAAGTATCTGTTTGGGTTCTGTGTTCATTTTCTGGAGTCTGTGCCTCAGAGTGGCATTGACAAGCCATATGGTGACTGCCATCTAGTTTCCATAGAGGCTACACAAGTTTGTACCTCTGTGACATTGCCACGGTTCCAGTCTCTGCAGCTTCGACAGCACTCACTGTTTTCCATTGTGGTGATGTTTTTAAAACATCGCGTAAGTAGTACCTTGCTGAGAACTTGATTTGCATTTCCCTAATGAGTCCTTGTGTTGATCACCCCCCATTGTCCATTTATATATCTTGTGGAAGGAATGTTTATCAAAATGCTTTGTTGTGGACAGATTTTAAACTATGAAAAGCTATGCATGATAGCATATACCTATAATCCCAGCAATCAAGAGGCTGAGGCAGGAAGATCTCCATGAATTCAAGCAAGCTTGGGCTACATGATAAGACCCTGTCTCAGAACAAAACAAAATAAAAACCTGTGAAAAGGCCTTATGTAGATAAAAACAGTTTTCTACTGTTTTTATCTATACATTTTCCCATCCATTTGGGGGAAATACAATGATTCTCAAAATGAACATATTTAGATTAGTGACGTTTCTTAAAACAAAAGTTGATGTGTAACTCAAACATCCAACAAAATCCTAATACTAGCTTACAGAACAACTCACATGTAAGAATGAATGCTAACTGGGTGTGGTGGCACACGCCTGTAATGCCAGCAACCTGAGAGGCTGAGGCAAGACGATCATAAGTTTGGCCCAGCCTTGGTGTGGAACCTTATCTCAAAAACAGTAACAAGCTCATCCTCCACGTGAGAGAGCAGACCTGCACCAGAGGAGCAGAGCCTAGCCTCCAGGGGAACATGGCACAGGGCAGCAGAGACAAAGATTAACCAATAGACCTTATCCTGGATTAGGACAACACCTGGGGGAAGTAGAGAGCAACCAGACCCCACAGCTTTCGTAAGTCCAACAGTCCATTCGAACCCCTACCTTGTGACCTACGTCCAGCAGAGAACAGAGGGCTGATCAAGTAGGTTCCCCATCTACCAGTGGAAACAAGGACAAACCTTGGGTTGGACAGTCACCACGGTCTGGGGGAAACAGACAGAGAGGTCTCTGCTGGACGGAGGGCACTGCTAAGACCCTTGGCCCTAAAAGGTAGGCATAGGAAACTGACTGCTGGATCCCGAGGCTGTGGCTCACAGAAGGGAACCACTCATTCCATAAACAGGATGTTTTTTTGAGTCAGTCTTTATTTTTCTATTTTGTATTTTATCTTTCCTTCATCAGGTTTTTTGGGGGGAGCTTGGAGATCCCCCCACCTTTTTCTTTTCCTCTTTTATTTTTGTTTCTTTTTCTTCCATTTTTTTCTCTTCATTCTTTATCACCTGTTTTTACTCTATTTTTTAATTGTTTGTTCTTTCCAGCAACCGTTCTCTATCACTATTAATTTCCTTTTATTACTCACTGAACTGTTTTGTTACCTCCCTGATACCCTTTTGAATAATGCAGGTGTAAGGCTTTTAGTTTACTCCCCTCCAATGCCGCATGGATCAGCTTTAGGGGAGTTAGGAGAACACAGTCCCTATCTTACATTTCTCACCTTTTCGCATCCCATCAATTAATTTTCCAAATTTTGCTTTTTTCATTCTCAGGTCCCCACCCCTTTTACCTTTACTAGTACAACTACTGAGCTTTATGAATCTCTAGGTAAATAATTAACTTTATGCTATTGCTGTTGAATACTGTGCTAGTATAGTAAAGTTGTTCCATTTAGTTGATATTTACCATAGATCAGTAAGTCAATATTTGGTTTGTCTGAGAACATTTGTAATATATTTATAGATCTCTTTTCTGTGGAGAAGGGTGGTACTTTATTGGTCCTTGAGGTTTATGAATACTCAGTTTATGTTTAATTCTGTAATTGATGCTGATTTTATCCTCATAGCCAAGGTGAAACAGCTGTTGATCTTCATTGGTTTCTTGAGATGCCAATATCCAGATTGCCTTGGGGTCATTAACAGTATTGTGGCCCGTTCCTGGAGAATTAGGTGCTAGGCTCAGTGTGCTGCAATGTCGCATCTCAAGTAAACGGAGGTGGCTGGATCCTGGGACAAAGGTAAAGACCAGTAGTTAGCCACACACAGAGGGTACCACTGAGAAGTCGACATTGAGATCTCTGTAATAGAAAAGAACTTTCCACTACAACAAGCCTCAATACCAGACAAATGAAAATACAGATATTCCTCATTTAATGACTTAAGACTCAACACCAAACAAATGAAAACATAGATATTCCTCATTTAATGACTGTTTGGACTTACAACCCACTGCTCAAACTGAATGACTTATCTTTTTCTTTTGCTACAGTCTTGTACATCTTCTTTGTAGGCCTTAAATTCTTTTTTGTACAGTATACCTTTTTATATATATATATATTTTTTTTGTACTGAGGATTGAACTCAGGACCTTGCATTTGCCAGGCAGGCACTTATGCCACTGAGCTATATCCCCAGCAGTACACCTTTTTATAGTACTATAAGTTTTGCTGATTATACAGTACATCACTGCAGTTTGATGCTTTGTTTTACATTACTACATATGAGAGTTATGCAAATAAAAGCAAAGTCATCAAGTTGGGGTTTCCTTTCACCATTTCTTTGTTCTGAATGTTGCAGTGTACATACTACATATGTACATTTCATTTAGCAACCATTTAACAGCCTAGTAGCAGGAATGGAACTTAGTTATTAAACAAGGAGTGTGTGTAGAAACATGAGAAGACAAGACAACAAAATGCCTCCAAAAACTCCTAACTCCCCTAAAGCTGGTCCATGCAGCACTGGAGGGGAGTAAACTAAAAGCCTTACACCTGTATTATTCAAAAGGATATCAGGGAGATAATAAAACAGTTCAGTGAGGCAATTGGCTTATACATAGAAGATATAATGTTGGTCCAATTAAAATCAGCAAATCTAAAAAAAGACATTAATAAAGATAGAAGAGCTAAACAATGGAAAACATGTATAACCAGCATAGAAAAGAATTAGAGTCGATAAAAGGCCACAAATAGAAATTTAAGACATTAAAAATTCTTTTGAAAGGATGGGCAGCAGAAGTGACCACTGTGTGGACAGAGTCTCAGAAGACAGGGCTGTTGTTAGTGACCAAGTAATGAATGCTATCTTAATAACAACATGAAAACATAAAAAGTGGATCCAACAACTCCTAGATGATGCAAAAAAATTAATTTGAATTAGTGAAAATCAGAGTGTAGCACAAGTAGCATAAAAACTACTGAAATAATATCTGAAAACTTTCTAAATAAGGTAAAAATAATTTAACGTACAGGTAACAGAGGCATATAGAATTTGAAATAGCCACACTCAGAAAACAACCTCACTGCAAAACATCATAATTAACATCTCAGAAGTCGAACACAAGAACAGACTGTTAAAAGCAGTTAGAGAAAAGCAATGAAATGCTTATAAAGGAAAACCCATTAGAATTATAGTAGACTTCTCAACACATGTTAAAGGCCAAGAGAGCTTGGAGTGAGGTGTCTCAAACCCTAAAAGAAAAGTTTCCAATATGTAAAACGATAACCATTGATAATTTCCTACCATTTTGTCTGTAATTTGCTAAGTCCCCCCAATTATTATGTTATCCTTCTTTTATTCTTTAAAATAAAAAAAAAATAAATAAAAAAAGAAAAGTTTCCAGACTGACATACCCTGTAAAAACTACCTTTTAAAGTTGATGCAGAGGAGCTGGGGATGTAGCTCAGTGGTGCAGCACCTCCCTGGCAAGCACATGGTTGTGAGTTCGATTCCTGGTACCAAAAAAAACAAAACCTCCATTGCTATAAAATTGATGCAGAATATTTTCATGATAAAGAACACAAAGTAAATTCATGACCACCAAACCAGCACTCCAAAAAAATGCTTGAGACCCTAGAAAGACACAAGCCAACAATGACAAATGGTCTGATAAAATAAATACACCAGGTAGGAGGAGCAGTTAAGTGCAAGATAAAGAGGGAATTGGCAACAAGAATATAAAGCCATGACAGGTATAAGTCAGTAACTATCATTAATAATTTCCAAAGTGAATGGTCTCAATTCCATAATCAAAGACAGA